AACACCCTTAAGCCTCAGTTTCCCTTCTCTCATGTCTATTTAATTTTACTTTGACTGGACTAGATTTCTGAATGCTAGGGCTTCTTTTTCTTTTACATATACACTCAGTCACCCCACCCAGGGCATGTGGTTTTCCTTGGACTTAATAAACAAGTGGCACATATTCACTTGGAAAGGAGCCTCCGTCCTTTTATTAAAAAAGGAAGTCCAGTTCCCAAATCCCTGCCATCCTGTGTCACTTACATTCTCATCTGACAAACATTTAATTGTGCCTCCATGTCTAAGACACTGTGCCAGAGGCTCTAAGTACAAGCAGACCTTGTTCTGTTCATTCTAAGACATGGATTAGCGTTACATTTGAACACAAACTATGTTTTCTTTGTTAGTGGTACCAAACCAATAGTGCATCTCACAATTAATGGGCATCTTATATTAAGTAAAATACGGTACAAGATACAGACCCTGCTCTCAAGCAGCTTACAGATGTTGCAATTATTTTGCTGGCAGCTAGTTTTCCTCCTCTGTGGGAGGAAACTCGGGGCTTAGTTTGGAAAGGCTGGACCTACTCTTTGCAAGAGATCAAACAGCCCTTCAGCGTAAAACACTGTGTCTCCGAACAGCAGCACAGCCAAGACACCTTGGGAAAGGAGTGAGAACAGATTTGTGAAGGTGCGGGAATCTTCAAACATCCTTCTTGTAGGAAATACTCCCAAACACTTAACTGTGAGAGCTGATTTTTTGCTTTCCTATTGGACTCACTTTTAGTGTTGCAAAAGTATGTTTTTACTCTTTATGAGGAAACATATAAATGGGGAGTCGGGGGGAAGGAAATCCTTCCAGAAAGCAAGAAAAATTTCTGGGAGCAAAGAAATCTTTTTCCACAGTGAGAAAATACCGGGCTAAAGAAGCTGTCAACTGAACTCTCAAGCTCAAGAAAAATGTGGAAGCCAGTAAAAGAAAGCTCTGAACTATCTCATTATCATGCACATTTCCAGCAGAAACGCTTAAGGGTGTTTGCAGATACTGGAGAAGCTAGAGTGAGTGGCCAGAGGTGGGGTTCTAACCTGGCAGCAATTATAAATGAGACCCTCACATCCCTGGGACAAGCTGACCTGAAGACGGCCATGGGCACTGGGTTACTAACAGCAGGATCATTCGTGTGGCCACTTGCAATGCTACATTGGCCTGCGTAAGAGGAGAGAGCAGCAGCCTGTTGTCACGTCGCAGGAAAACCAGAGAGGACAAAAAGCAGGTCGGCACGTCCTAAAGTGAGCATTGCACGCAGGCTGGCCACCAACTTGAATTCAGAAACTGCACCACCTAACTTCTGGCTACCCCATCTGGTGCTTGATCCAGGCTGATCCAACTGCATTCCCCAGCATCAGCACACAGGTGTTTCTACTGATGCTTTTCCCTGTTGGAGGAAAAAATGTGTTCTGAACCGAGGGGGTCCAGCGCAGGGGTGGAGAGATGGTGGCCAAGCACACCAGGCAGAGTTAAGCGTGCACTGCCCGAGGAGGAGGGATGGTAGGCCATGCGGGAGTCCGAGGAGGAGTTGGCAGGAGGGCAAGTGTGCGTGCTGACCCAGAAGGAATGCACCCCTTGTTCCTGGAGCTCACAGAGAGCCTTCCAACAACCTGATGTCTTCCCATCCGGGATGTCAGGGCCACTTACTGCAAAGTTTGATCCCTGGAGTAGGGAGTAAAATGTTCTTTTTCTTTTCTGTTGTGTGTCATCTTACACTGCCGAATGTCTTTGCTTCCTAATTGAATCCCATCAGTGTAAGCTAACTGCCTCACTTACTTGAAATGAACTCAGCTCAGAACAAGTTCCCCACAAGGCTGCATTCTTCAGGGTGCTCAGAATGGCAGAGCTAGGCTCAGCCCCCGCATAGAGGAGGGGAGGAGCCCTACTTATTGTCTTAGAAGAACATTACAAATAAAAAAACTAAAAGTCTCTCTGCATCCAAATCAAAGAGGCCTCGCATATACCACACCCATGCTGGAGAGATAAACGTCTCTACAGCAAAGTCCGATGGCCGTTCGTCTTCTCTTAAAGAGGAAGGCACGTGACAGAGAGTCAAAGAACTCCAGTTGGGAAAGTCAGATTCTTTATTTATGAAATAAGTGAACTTGATAAGATGACCTGTACGTTCCGGGAGGAAGTCAAAAGTTCTATGAACCCAAGAAGAAAATAATCTCAGAGCTAAAAGAACAGCCCCAAACAGTCACTCAGATTCACCAAGACCTGATTGGTTATTAAAATAAGATAGAGCCCTCTCTCCTGGAAGCCGTGAGCAGGTGCTTGCTCACTTAGTAGGCACCTACTTTTTAAGGGAAAAGATGTCCATCCCCAGGTGAGTTACCTGAGCACCAGACTCTGACCCTGCACCAAAAGGTCAGCCTTTCACATTCAAATTATTTCCCAAGGCTTGACTCTTCAGCTCCCCTCTAGGGAATGTCTCCAGGGTCACTAGTTGCCACAAAGTCCCTAGTTACCAGGATTTTGGTAGGTAATTGGGGGAGATTAGAGGAGACCTGATGACAAGTTCAGGTTGGTATGTTCCAGACTACAATCGGGGCGTAAGCATGGATTCTCTTCTCACACCTCCTCAGCATTAATTAACTTTGGCCTTGAGTCCCCACAGCCCCTCTCTCCAGCTGGTGAGTTATAAAATGACTCCATAGTGTCTAGAAAATCATTGATTAGTGTTTGGTCAGGATTTTAAATTTCTTAAAGTTAAATTTCAATTTACCCTAGGTAAGTATTTTTTTATATGACATCTAGCACAGGGCTTTGCACTCAAGAAACATTGAATGAATAGACATGTGAATCAATGAATAATCAGATGCACTGGATTTGAGCTCCATACCAGGAAGACACCCCCTGCCAGTCACCTCCACACTCAGTTCCAGGGTTTTCCCATCACTCTTCCCTCAGGAGCTGAGCCTGATAGAAGTCACATGAGCATTCACATCAGCTAACATATTACCTTTCAGAGTTTAATATAATTCCCTGGATTTGATGAACTGCCAGGGGGCCAATTTCTGAAAGTAAGTGTGGTGATTTACAATAGCGGAAGAGGATCAATGAAATCTACAAGAGTGGCCCCTTAGTCATCCCTTCTAAGGATCCTTCAGGAACACAGCCATACGTGAGCAGATTCTTCCTGCCCCAGCCCCGCAGCAAAAGGCTTCCCGTCAGGATTTCTGAGAGATTTTATGTTCTTTTTCTCCATTTCTTAGGGAAAAAAATATCCCAATCCCATGTGTGGATGTAAAGCTTGTTGCTAAGGCAGTGAGGGGCTGCGCACCCACAGGCTTACTCACAGGAGACCCACCAGGTTCAGCCTGGCATTGAACACCTTCTGACGAAGCAAAAGTGTGACCATCAAGAAGCAAATGCCACTACGGTCAGATGGCAGGGTAATCAGAGCCCTCTATAACAATTTCATTTGAGTTCACGTAAGATGACAAGGAAAAGCGTGTGACAAACACAAGCAGCAAAATGCAGAATAGACCAAATCTTTGAGGTCCTGCTGCCCTCCCCAAGGATGAAGGAGGCAGATGGAGACACTTAGTGTAGAAATGAAGCATGCAGCCTTGGCCAGTTTGGCTCAGTGGATAAAGCATTGGCCTATGGACTGAAGGATACCAGGTTCGATCCTGGTCAAGGGCACATGCCCAGGTTGCAGGCTCGATCCCCAGTGCGGGGCGTACAGAAGGCAGCCAATCAATGGTTCTCTCTCATCATTAATGTTTCTATCTCTCTCTCCCTCTCCCTTCCTCTCTGAAATCAATAAAAATATATTTTTTTAAAAAAGAAATGAAGCACACAAAACACATCCTTCCTCAAGAAGCTCTCCATGGCAAAGGGTCTCAATTCCCCAACGTGTCTTCAGTCACAATGGCAAATACTCTGAGAGCACATCTGTCATATGTACAATGTCCTTTAACTTGCGTGTGCACGCACATACGCGTGCAGCTCATTCAGATGTGGCACTTTGCCAGTACGAGGCCTTTTCGTGTACTTGGTGATGTGTGTGGTGGTTCTGAAAGGGCACACTCACGTTACCTACCGTTCTGCTTTTCCTGGTAAGACTTCTGTACAAAATCCAGCCTCAGGGACATGGTGCAGGCATCATGAGAAACCCCCTGTTCGCGTCAGGCTGAACCTGTCCTTCAGCAAAGCAGGCCTGGCCCAGACCATAGAATAGAGGCAGGCACAAGGGAGTCAGCTGTTCCAATGGATGCGGTGAACATTTATTTCTCCCAGAGGAGAGACGCCCACGGTGTCTGGAGCATGGGTCTTCCACCACATCCCCACCAGGGACCATCCCTGAAAGGCCACCTGAGACCAGCTCCCCGGGACACAGCAAGCCCTTCTCCTGGGTTCTCAGTGCTGATTCAAAATTCCCCTTTAACCCACAATGATTTGGGGAAAAGGAAGCTAAATCCCAATCCTGTGGGGGTGTCAATTTTCTTTGCCTGGAAGTTCCTGATAGGGGCCCCTTCTCCGAGTGTCCTAACAGTAGGTTCACCTCCCTGAGAAGGCACCCAGCCTCCAGCCATTTTAGATCCTGGGTAGAGTGGTGCTGACACCTAGGGGTGGATGGAGAAAGAGCCGGTGCGGAGAGAAGACCAGCCCTAGCTGCACGCTGTGCCTCCTGGCAGTTTCCAAGGAGTGGTGTTTCCCCCTAGTTCCTGTCCACCTGTTCCCAAGTCTACCTCCCTCACTCCTAGAGAAGGTCGCCAAAATCCTTTCCAGGGACCTCCCACACAGAAGGACAAAAGCAAAGTTTGACTTTAATAACAACCGCCCGGATCCCCACCTTGTTTAGTCTTCCATCTGCCTGAGAAAAGTAGCCACAAGGGAGGCTGGAAGTAGAGAACATAGCGCCCCAAGAAGACTCATCAATAGGCTCTGTTCAGCTGGGATAGGGGCCAGGAGGAACCAGGGAATGCCAAACCTCCCCAAGGCAGCCAGGGATGCTTTCTTACCAAACTCGCTCGCACAGAGATGCTCAATTATCGCTTCAGATTTCAACTCGTTGTCACATGGAGGACACACAGTTGTGCCTAGGAAGGGAGAGGAGGAGAAAAAGGAGCTGTGAGTTATGGGGTTAATGGGTGCAGAGAGAAGCCTTCCCTGGGAAAGACATCAACCCACAACCAGAAAGAAAGTAATTAAAGGTCTTCTGGAATTTCTGAAGGGCAACCTGAAAATCAAAAAGAAGACTCTTAAAGCCCACAACCTAAAGCTATAAGCAGACATACGGCTTCTTGAAAATTTCGGGGCTAGAGCTGTTGAATATGGCACACCTATTTAAAGCAACAATATCGGGCTGGGAGGAAGCAGTCCTGTAACTTGTGGCTTAATGGGGTATGGTGGGTCTCTGGGAAAAGCTGACTTATAAACCAAACACATCTATTTCAGTTGTTGGTTTCCTGTTCTTTCCCACCCCCTCTCTTTTAAATATCCCCCATCCAATTCCCATCCCCTTCCCATTCCCAAACTCCCAACAAGACAGCAGGTCAATCTGACCGGCTCTTCAGGAGCCAATAAATAAAAACTCAGCCAACTCATGAACTCTAACCCCAGGCCCAGAACACCCCTCTCCAAAAGGGCAATTGCTAGCAAGAGCTGCCAAATGGGAGGAGAGAGCTGGATGGGAGAGACTCTGGAGGCATTTTCACAGCACTGTGAAGTGCTTTGAAGAGATGTGTGCATGGCTGACCTGAGGGCCACTGATAGGTGGCTAAGCTCCAGGGGAAGAGGCATCTGAGGCCAGGGCTAGAGGCCTCCTCTAAGATAAAATGCTGCTGGTGCTAGAGGGATCCTGGGGGCATAAATTGTCTCTGTGGAAGGGCAGGGAGAAAGTGGTACAGTGGAATCCCCAGAAGGGCGTAGTGCTTATCATCACCATCACCATTCTCACCACCACCATCCTCACCATCACCATCACCACCACCACCACTACCACCATCATCACTATCACCATCTCTCAAACCACCTGGAGTTTTATCCATGATCTAGGAAGAAAGCATTAGCATGTTCCAAGGGCACTCCATCCTTGGCACAGCATTAGAGGCCATGCCAGGCTGGAGCTAAGGAGCAAAGGAAAGTCACCCCAAGGAAGGATGTGTACTGAGTGACCTTTGCTCAAATATAAGGCTCTTCATCTTGCTCCCTGACCCTTCCCTCTCCATGGCTTCTGGGAGAGCAGTCCTCCTCAGTGAGTTCCCCTATGGCTCAGTGAAATGAGCAAAGCCTCCCAAGATGGGAGGTAGGAAGGGAGCTGCACAGCCCTCCCAGATCAACGCTGTTCCCAGGACATAACTGGCCCAGAGCTGGCCACCCACCCCCCACTTCCCAGCAGGGTCCCTACATAGCCTAGCAGAGACCACATGCCTTGGCCTTTGTACCCAGAGCCAAACACCATCCAGATTCTCAGTGCAGCAGGAACCATAGGCACACTCCAAGCAGAAGACGGTCTGACTGTCTTTTGGCCCAGATGTTGGAAATTTGCTTTTCACACAAAATCAAATTTGAAATTGGTAGTGTTTCTAACAAAGGGAAAAACTTAGCCAGAGTTTTACATATGGTTCCTGCTTCCCTGGGGAGAAAAACAGGGAAAGGAAGTCCCGCAATAATGGGAAGGACATTGTTACTTATAGAGGGAGCATCAGCTTTGCTGTGGGATTTTCCTTGTTTCCTTATTTTTTAAAAAGTGGAAGCTATCATATTGCAAGGTTCTATGAATACAACCTTGACTAAACAAGTAGCAGGACCAGGGCCATCAGCATGTAAACACCAGGTGTCCATCGGCTCCACACACTCACATCATGTGGTGTAGACACACTGAGTTCCCCACAGGGGCACTTCCCGCAGTGCCATCCGTGACCTTTGGCCGTCAGTGCCTCTCAGGGCTGCAGGATCTTGCTGAGGTGAGCTCAATGTGGCTTCCCCCCATCTTGGCTCTGTTCAGCTGACTCTGGAGCAGCAGCAGGCTCTGGAGCAGCAGCAGCTTGATCCAGAGAAGGGAGGAATGTGTAATGCAATATTAATCTGTGCCCCTCCGATTGTCCTTGGGGCCCCACAGGCTGCCTCAGCAGGAGAAATCCACCCAGTCATCTGTCTGAGAGGTGGAACAAAACCCCTTTGAAAGTGTATCTAAAATAATGTTTAAAGCAAAGGAACTAAAACCTAAAACGTTTTTGTGTTTTATTAATATTTAAAGGGAAGTAGAAGAGAAAGTCCCACAGTGGAATCAGGATTAAGTGAATTTTTTAAAATCAATGCACACACATGTACCTCGCACATTCTCTACCCCCCTCTCAAACACAGCACATCCCCCCTTCTCTCTCCCTCTTCCTCTCTCTCTCTCTCTCTCTCTCTCTCTCTCTCTCTCTCACACACACACACACACACACACACACACACACACAGGCACACGCTGCAGATCTTCCCCAGCCATCTCCGGGAAACATGGAGAAGGGGCTCTGTGGAAGGCTCTTGGTCATACTGATCACACTGCAGCCTCTGCGATCTGTGACTACAATAGCCAGGCTGATTTAATGCACAACATGCGTAAACAACAACAAAACTAAACTAAAAGTACTTGCTTGTTCAAACAACTTCAATCAGTAAAACCTGGCAGGGAGGGGGAACAACTTATCAGAGTGCACAGGTCTAATGTAAGTGCAAGACTTAGAAATAACTTTCCTGGGGAAAGAACCATCGCCTCTCCCATAACAGATGCTTGATGCAGCTCAGGTCATGGCCTTTTGGCGGTGGGGGGGTGGGGGGGGTCTTTTGCCTCATTTCTCATAACTAAGTTTATCTTTAATAACACATGGCCACAAAGGGAGGCTCAATACCCCCAAGTATGTAAAGAGAAATCAGCTAAATCATGCAGAGATCTGATGCTGCTTTGAAAACCGTTTTAATTTTTAAGAATAAAACAATAAAAATAGTGCATGTGTACTTATTGCCATCCAAAAGTACCAGTTCTTATTCGGGAGCTACCCGCCATAAGGGTTTAATGACCAGTACTGCGGTCATCTCAGCCTGTCCTGACACACACACACACACACACACACACACACACACACAGCCTTTCCACCTCCAGTGGCCATCCTGCCTCAGAGGAAGTCCTGTGGGGCTCCCACTGAGTGGCTGTAGTGCTGGGAAGGAACAGATTCCTTCTCAAAGCAGAGCCTCTCACCAAAAATGCCGAGGGAGAACCAGTTCCCTGGTCCCACACCTGCCTGGACCTCTCACAGCCTCTCTCTGTTCAGCAGCTGGTCTTGGGAAGGTGACTACTTGGACGGAGGAAGGAGAGAGGAGGATGTACAAAAGGGCCCAGGCAAGGGGAAGCAGACAAGTGGAACAGCAGCCAAAGAGTAAATGCCTTCAAGAAGGCACCCAGACTTTGGAGTTCAGCTGGGAGGATTCTTTCCTCTTCCTCAGTAGGCTCCCCAGCCAGTCTTCCCATCTTCCCCCAGAAAGTATTCCCCCAAAGATCTGCATGTCCACCAACTGGCTGTCCCAGAAAGATGGGTAGACTCGGCCCAAGCAGAGCTGGCCACAGCCTCGCGGAGCAGGGCGGGGCTGGGCTAATCCCCCAGTGGCCCTCCGCGGGGGAAGGGAAGGAGGAAAATGCTGTGGGCTGCAGGGGATGGCTCCACACAGAACACAAAGTGCTTTGTTTGCTCCAGGTAATTGCTCAGCTCTCAGGGTTGCACTTCCCAAAGGTTAACCCTGTGCAGACACCTAGGAAGCGGAGAGCAAGAGGTGCCCGGACTTCGCCACTGCAGGCAGGCTGCTGCCTTTCCAACCGGCCGGGACCCACGCCACCCAACATCAACTCCATCAGACTGATCTTCTCCCTTCCTAGAATAAGTAAGTGCATTCAAAGTTCAGGGTGCCCCTTGCCCCATACCTACCCCCACCCTCACTCTGAGGGAACACGCCCTTCAGTGGACATCCCTTTTTGGCATCACAAGAGGATGGGTGAAGTCAGCAAGCAGCCAGCCCCACACCCGAAAAGCCCTCCCGACACCCGCCCCTGTGCTAAGCACACTGGGTATGGCTCCCCATCTCAGACTATCTCCACATCTCAGACTATCTCCACATCCTTAAATCTCAACTCTGCTTCCAAAGAATTCAGGGTTGAATTCACTCCTATAAAAGTCAGGCCATCAAGTTGGGGGTTTTGCTGGTTTGGTTTTGTTGCCTCTCCGAGATTTCCCCCCTCGCCCCCCACTCAAGAACTGCCCTTTAAAGTGGCAGGGACTTCGAGGAACCTCGGGTGGTCCCTGAGACAGTTAAGAAAGTATCAGAAATCCCACTGGCCAAGGAGAGACGAACAATGAACTAATTACATTTTTATCTTTCTAATGACCTGGGGATTTGTGTAAATGAGAGAAGCAGGGGGTATGCAAGAATGAGAAAGAAGAGACTTTCCATCCCCCAACCCTCCCCAAACTGTCACCTGAAAGGGGTGGAGAAACAGAAATCCCCGGTTTCTAAACTTTCTTCCTCAGCCAGAACTGCAGCTTGCCCTCCTGGGCTGAATGACTAGTTAAGGGAAAAGTTGTTTGTTTGTTTGTTTGTTTGTTTGTTTGTTTAAACCCTCATGGAACCTCTGAAAACAAAGCTTCCCCCTAGCATGTTCCCGGCCGGTATTGGGTTTTTCCCTCCTGGCGCATCCTGTCTGGGGTGCTAAGCGCTGCGATAGGGACTCGGTTCTCTCCCAGAGGAGAGACGGGCTCCCCTTTTATTTGGAGCTTTAGGCTTTGT